TATAAACCAAAGGTATAAATACATATTATGGACTATTTGAACCCAGGGGCGTATTCTTGGACATTTTAGACAGGACAAAATATCAAGGGCTTCTTGGCATGGACCAAATACCTCCATGGGCATTTTGGACAGGAACAAATGTCTGCTATTATAATGTCATGGACCATGCTGTGGGAGAGGATGATGTGTTTTTTGAGGTCACAGTCATTTATTGGCTATACCTGCCATACATTTATACCAAATCACCTGGAATCTATCAAACTCTTCAAAGGAAATTTCATAAATTTATCCTTCCCCACATGAAGAAGGGATGCTTTATTTGCTTGTCTAAAAAGTATTATACCTCATCTTTCAAATAGTAACTCCTTTCCACACAGTGTAAGGAAGCAGTAAATTCAGTTGATTGCATGTATGTCACTCATGCTCTTGAAAGTTTCACTTCTGAATTTTTATTTGGTATTTTTCCCAGATTATTAATCAATTGATTGTGTCTTTACATGACAATTTTCCTAAATCATTTTCTCTTTTACATTAGGTATTTCTTAAGGGATGATATCCAAGATAGTATAATGTTCAGAGTATATTAATCTACATGTATAAAAACCTAAGTGACCGTCACACTGGAAACAACTGAACAGACAACCGAACAGGCTGCATGGGGCAACCAGGCCAGCAGGGGGGGTTAGTGAGGGCAGACCAAATGACTGAGCAGCAGGTTGCGTGGGGCAACCAGGCCAGAAGAGGGGGCAGTGAGGGGTAACCAGCCTAGCAAGGGGGCAGTGAGGGGCAACCAGGCTAGCAGAGGGGGCAGTAAGAGGTGGCCAGGCTGGCAGGGAGGCAGTTGGGGGTAACCAGGCCGGCAGGGGGGCCGCTGGAGGTAACCAGACCAGCAGGGGGGGAAGTTAGGGGCAATCAGGCAGGCAGGCAAGTGAGCAGTTAGGATCCAGTGGTCCTGGATTGTGAGAGGGATGTCCGACTGCCAGGCCTAAACCGGCAGTCGGACATCCCCCAAGGAGTCCCAGATTGGAGAGGGTGCAGGCTGGACTGAGAGGACTCCCCCCACACACAGTGCACGAATTTTGTTCACCAGGCCTCTAGTGATACCATAATCTCAATATTATGTTTCTTTTTGTTGATAATGGCTTTTTTTGTGACAGTGTCCAGGATTCTGCTAATCTTTCTGGTTACAGTTAATGGAACCCTCACTAATTAATGACACAGCAGGCTTTCTGACACCTAACCAAATTAACTCTTTTTCCTGTATTCATCATCTCAATTGGTTTCACTGTGATCCACCAGTCACTCAGCTAGAAACCTGTCCTTTAGCCTATTATCTTCTCTCACTCCCAACTGTTATGTCTAATTAATCATGGCGTCCTTCCAATTTTATTTTCTACATATGTAGGGTGTCCCAAAAAATGAATACACAGACTTTGAATAATTATAAAGGCAGTGTTTATTAAAATGCATTTCATTTTCAAAATTGAGCTATTAGCTGTAAAGTGTGTATACATGTTTTTGGGAGATCCTGTAGTTTGATTCATATCTTTGGGTCTCACCTAGCTGTTGTTCCTTTTAAAGAGTCAGTCTCAGTGCCATCTCCTCTGGGGTAGGTGTCTCTCCTGGTCCTTACTCTGCCTGCTCCTATCCTTTATCCTTCTGTGATCCCCCTTACCCCTTGGTGAAATCCTTGAAGGAAGGAACTGGGTGGGACTTATTTACTGTTTTTTCTTTAGTCCCTGACTTAGTGCCTGGTATATATAAGGTGTTGAATAATTGATTGTTGACTGCATGATTGAATGAATAACACTTCCTTCAGCTCTCAATGCCTGTTTTATATGCCATACACACACAGAATAATTATCCAATTATCAAAGGTAATTATGTTAAATATATCATCATTTCGCTTCAAAGTACTTCATGGAATTCTAGTGTTTGTTTGGTTTATGTTTTAGTGTTTTGTTGTTGTTGTTGTTTTGTGTGTGTATATATGGGTGTATATGTGTGTTTTAAAGAGGGATAATAATTTTCAAAAATTTGTCTTTAAGTGTGACTTTTTTATCACTTTGTTTTAAATATCTAAGTAATTAAGTACATTTCCTTCATTGTCAATCAAATCTGGATTTAGATTCAATTTTTCTACGTGGGCCATGCTTAACTACTCCTTGCTGAGTTAGTTTTACCTCAAAGCAGTTATAATATGAACCTTATGCAGTTGCTTTATGCATCCATGTATATGTAGAAAATGCTAGATGAGATATAGTAGAAAGATATAACATGAGCCAAGAAATGAAGGTATGATTCTCTGAGGATGTGACACTTAGCTGTCCCCTTTGATGCTTTGCTCCATATCCCTCTGACTGCTGAGTTCACCTAAAACTGTGGGTACAGTTTCTAACCTACCAGTAACTTTCCAGCTCACGTGTTATATCTCTTCTTCTGGCTGAGAGTACCAATAAGCATAGTCTGGGGAAGATGGGAAGTTTAAACACCCCCAGGAGCAACCTTCAATTGATAGGGAATGGGTGATGATGGACAGTGTCCCAATCCTAACCTCCAATGAAATGATTCTAAGGCATGTTTTCCCTACTGTCTCTCAGAGTCTCCAAGGGGAGACCTGGCTATAGTAGTAGCACACCCAATAATATACCATTACTGGTTTCTCTTATCTCATGTTTTCCACTTTCTTTAGAAAATGCTTCCAAAAAGAGATCTGCCCCTAAGTTCTTCTGTCAGGGGTGGTATTTGGGGTAACCAAAGCTTAAAGAATATGGAAGCCATGACTGACTGAGAGATTGTAATAGTCAGAAGAGACATCATGTAAAAGTACCAGAGCCAAGAGTTAAGGGTGGAAATATCAAGGAACTAAAAGATGTTCTAGATGCCTGGCTGGAGCAATGAAGGGAAAATTGTGAGGTAGCAAGTCCCAATTAGTGGTGGGGCCATTGTCACTACTTTGTCATTATTGCAGGGACAGTGGGATTCCAGACTGAAAGATAGGAAGTAGGGGAGTGATATACTATATATTATGGAGAATGAATTGTAGGAGAATAAGCCAAGACACCTGTGATGAAGTTACTACAATAATAGCGACCAGCACTTGGGGAAGGAGTCAGTAGTATCTGGAGAGAAATGGGCAGATTTCACAGCTATGAAGCAGCTAGCATCTTTCTAAATTGTCATTGCTATTTCTTATCAGTGTGAAGCAGTCATGGTGATAACTAAGGTGAACTGGTCATTAAGCAGGGGAGCATTTCAGTCATTGACGTTGCTCTTCAAATTTTCTTTGAGAACTTATTTGCTTTTTTTTTTTAAGTCTTTACCTTATGGATTTGTATATCTCAACCTTGTTCTAAAAGTATTGAAATATTTGTGGTGGTAGAGAAACTCATGCCACATTTCTCTGCTTCATCTTTGGTAGTAATTGGTAGAGATTATTACTGATTATATGTTTAAACCAAACTCTTGTTGTGGAAGTGAGAAGGACAAAGGGCTGTAATGTTACTAATTTGCTCATGATCGATGAAATACATTAGAATGATGGAAAACAAGATACTGTAGCACGTGCCTTTATGAAGTTATTGCTGACAACTTCTTTGAGATATATGAGTTTGCTATTGAAGCTTTTATTTCAGAGTTATTAGTAACCACTCATTTCAGTTATTGCAGTGAAAATGAATTTTCTTGTTATGTTAGTCAGCAAAAAATAAAAAATGATGATAAACCCGTTCTGAAGATGCAGCTTTCATTAAAAAGGAAAGAAAACCTAATTGAAAGTCACTGTAAATTTTGAATGATTAATTTCATGCCAAATAAGTTATTAAAAATCTCTGATGGATATAAAAAAGCAATCATTTGCAAAATTGGAAAGAGCTAAATTAAATCTAGATATACCTCTCTATTTTTTTTTAATTTGTGCATTGGGAGAGATAATATAGAAACTGTTGAATTTTAACACAATAGCCTTTTGCTATAGATAGTTTTTAACGCTATTAGGCTCTAAACCAATAATTAATTTCCCTCTGGATTTTTTTTATAACAGTGGATAATTTTTGTTCTAATTTACTCTTTTTCTTGTGTGTGTTTTTCTAATACATCTAGTTCATATTATTTCAAGCATTCAAATAATATAGGGTTTTTTGTTTCTTTGTTTTGCTGTGTTATATTTTGTTTTTGTTATTATATATGATATATTATATGTATTTATAATATATAAAGTATGTAATATATAAATAAAATATATAATACCAAATTATATATGTATGTATGTATGTTTGCATGTATATATAACTCAAGCTTCAGGCCCCTTTTTAGAAAACAGAGGGGCAAAATATATAAACCTTCTTCCTAAGTCTCCCCAAATTTTCTTTGTACAAAGGAAAAGTACTTTTCCAAATAACCAGCATTTTTTATTCTTTGCTTTTAAAAATAGACATAATATGCTGAACCTGGAGAGTTCATTATATCTAAAATATAAAAATGTCTGCAGGTCTCGGTCTATAGGTGCAGATAGCTTGTTCCATGAGACTGCCTTGCATTGCGAGATGAACAGAAAACAAATTGAATACATAATTATGTAAATGAAAATCTTTTAATTTTTTTCAATATAACTTTACAGATAAGGAGGACTCTTTTGGAGATGACCCCAGAATAAAATGTTCATCACGATGCCTGAACTGATTTGCAGTGGCCATGTGAAAGGCACTGGGGATGTTAGAGAGAATAGCTTGATTTGGAGTTGAGACTTTGAGGTTCCCTTTGTAAGCAAAGAACAGACAAACAGACTGTAACAGCCCAACTTTATTCTTTTCACACATTTCAAACATGTAATTACGAGGAAAAAAAGTCCTTTTTTATCATCTGGAATTCTGGTTTTAAAAGTCAACTACAATAATAGCGGAGTAAAGTAGAAACATCAATTTTTTAAGTGGAAGGCTTTTCATATTGCATTTACTATTATGTGCATTATTGATTTTCTTTTCTGGTGTTGTTCCTTGCAGAGAGTGAATCTGTCTTTCGATTTTCCATTTTATGGCCATTTTCTACGTGAAATCACTGTGGCAACGGGGGGTAAGTGGTTTTCTGCCCATTCACCCTAAATAATCTACAGTTTTACTGCCGTTATTATTTTTAATTCACTCCATATTTCAAGAGGGACATTTATTGGGAAAACCATTGTCTTCTATCACGAAGTCATGGGTATAAATAAAACCTAAGAAAGACTAGTATAATTATTGGAAAAACTTTTCAGCAAGAAAAAAAAAGTTGTTATAATAACTTTCAACTTAGATTCATCACCTTTGGTTTCCACCTGAGCTTTAATTTGTTTTTGAAAGTATGGTGAGACTGCACTAACAGGACCAAAGTAGGAAGAAAAGGTGCTTAAAGAAACTGTTGAGGTGTGTTTTATTTTTATTTTCTTTTAATGTATATAGCTGACATGTATATTAGCTCTAACTATTTGTTTCTTTCCTTTAATGTCACCTGTGTTGAGAGGTTGTTGTTGGTGTGTGTGTGTGTGTGTGTGTAATCCTCACTGAATATTTTTATTGATTTTAGAGAGAAAGGAAGGGGGAGAGAGAAAGAGAAACATCGATGTGAGAGAGAAACATAGATCGGTTGCTTCCCTGGCCAGGGATCAAATGCACAACCTAGGCGTGTGCCCTGACAGGGAATTGAACAGCCCAACCAATTGAGCACCCAGCCAGGGCGACTGACAGCTCACTTGAGAGCTTTAAAAACAAACACTGACATTCAGTTTGAATTCTTTTAGTTTTATTTTTTCCCCCACAAACTTTGGAGATTAGTTTAAAGATTAGCAATACTCTAGAAAGGCAATTATCATTCTTTATAGTATGGCACAGAAGTCAGACACATTTTAATCTTTGAGTGTTACTGGTAGAGATAAGCAAAATGCCAAAGAATATCCCTGCAGGCCTAACACGGAGACGTAGAGAAAGTAGAAGACTGAGAGAAAAACATAAAAATGGGAGCATAAGCCAAGAGGCAATGAAAAGAAATCAGGAGACGTGAGGCTAAGACTGTAGAGCACCCGTGCCTAAAGCACCACAGGACAGAGTCCTTCTCCGTCACAGCGTTTCATTATTGCTCTTTTGGATGTGACCCGTGTCACTTACTCTTCCCATATTTTAATATAACGCTTTGGAGATAGGTAGGGTTCTGAAAAAGATAGGTAATCAGAAATATTGATGATTAAATAAAAGTTTTTGAGCATCTACTGTGAGCAATGGTAAATATAGCTACTCTGCCCTAGGAATGTACAGCCTAGTGGACTATTAGACACAGGGAAGCTGACTATGGGGAGTTTCTTAGAAAATACACATGATGAAATAAAGGTTTTCAGGAATGATAAAGCTCAAACATCTGTGAGAATTCTTTAAGACTTAAATTGTTTAAGGTATATCTTGAAGGCTATGGCAGTTGCTATGGTCTTGCAGGGAAATAGTGGATTCCCAAGAAGATTATCTCGAGTAAATATTCAGAAGAGGAAATAGATACGGTATTTTTTTTTATTGTAAACAATTGAGTGTGAGTGAAACTGGGGGTATGTTTACAAGAAGTGTAGCATATTAAGATGAAAAAAAGTTGGTTGGGACAGTTTTACATAATATCTCAAGGGTCAATTTGAGTCATTAGTCCTTAATTAGGTAAGTAATCAACTTTAGATAAACATAGACATTTGTGTAGTGCCTTAAAGCAGCGATTTTCAACATTTTTCATCTTATGGCACACATAATTACTAAATTTCTGCAGCATACCAAAAAAATATTAGATATTTTGCCAATCTGACCAAAAAAAATGTATAATTTTGATATTTTGATTCATTCACACCAGAAGGCTATTGCTGTGTTGACTGTTGTCTTTTTATTATTATTACTAGGGGCCCGGTGCATGAAATTCGTGCACTTGGTGTGTGTGTGTGGGGAATGTCCCTCAGCCCAGCCTGCCCCCTCTCACATACTGGGAGCCCTCAGGCGTTGACCCCCATCACCCTCCAATCGCAGGATCGGCCCCTTGCCCAGGCCTGAGGCCTCTGACAGAGGCGTCAGGCCTGGGCAGGGGACCCTCATTTCCCCCCATCACTGGTTCTGCCCCCAGCCCAGGCCTGATGCCTCTGGCCCAGGCATCAGGCCTGGGCAGGGGACCCCCAGACCCCTCGGATTGCTGACTCTCTCCCTTGCCCAGGCCTGATGCCTCAGCCAGAGGCGTAGAGCCTCATCACCCTCCGATTGCCTGATCAGCCCCTTGCCCAGGCCTGACGCCTCCACCAGAAGTGTCAGGCTTGGACAGGGGACCCCCATCTCCCTCCGACCACTGGCTCTGACCCCCGCCCAGGCCTGAGGCCTCTGGCCCCGGAATCATGCCTGGGCAGGGGACCCCCATCTCCCTCTGATCGCTTGCTCCACTCCCCGCCCC